GGAGAGATCTTCCTTCTGTCAGTTCTCTCCCCAGATGGCCACGGTGAGCTGAGCCAAAGCTTCACCCCAGTCTCGTCTCCCACATGGGAGTGCAGGCACTAAAGCACTGGGGCCACCTTCTCTTGGTCTTCCAAGGCCATTAGCAGGGTGCTGGATCAGACGTGGAGCAGTCAGGACTTGAAACATCACCCACGTGGGATGTCAGTGTCACAGGTAAAAAGCTATTAACTGCTATGGCACAGTGCCATGCCTGGACGTGTAACCCTTTGATAATAAAGTGTTTTACATTTATATGTATGTGAGAGGTTGACCAGTTGTTTGCTGCCTTTGATTGCCATCTGCCTCAGATACCAGAGTGATGTTGAGTTCTTGAGATAAATTAGAATTCCCTGGCTTTGGGCCACAGGTGTCTGAAGGATTGGTGTTGTCTCAGGCAAGTTGGATCTACCTAACAGATGTCCTCCTTTCAAGAGTGAAAACTGGCTGATCTGATAAGAATGTCAAAGTGTGGATCATGTTAATTCCATTTTCTCAGGCATACAATGAAATCTTTCAACGAGTAGTATTCAGTATTTGCATCTTAAGTTTTTGAGTAAAAAATAAAACTTTTTGAGAGGCAGAGAGCATGAGAGGAAAAAGCAAGAAAGGGCGTTTCCACCAATTCACTCATGCCCCGTATGTCCTCCGTGGCGAGGATGGGCCATAGTCAGACCTGGCAGGTCGATCCAGCTCTCCCATGGGTGATGGGCACCCAGCTCTCCGAGCCATCCCCACCGCCTCTCAGGCTGCGTCAGCAGGGGTCGGATGCGGGCCCACTAATGCAGGACACAGGTTCCGTCACCACTAATCAAAACGCCTGTTCTCTTTCCCTTGGTTTCCGTTTGGGATTCCTAGTTTGTGTATACTAAATCTTGTCCATTTTCATGTTTCTCTCACTTTCTCTTGTTCACTTTTTAAATTTCTTATTTAAAAAGCATTGTTCCATGGAGACAATCTTGTCTGTCCTTCCTTCCTGATAAAATCAATTTCTTTGGCGGCGGGGGTGAAGGGGCAGTTTCCCATCCTTGGAGTCACTCCCCAGATACCTGCAGTGGTCAGACTGGGAAATGCCGCCACAGCAACCTGGAACACACCCCACTGGGTGGGAGGGACCTGGTACTTACCCAGCCTTTACCTGCTGGAGTTGGAGATAGAGCTGGGACCCAAACAGGCATTCCAATATGGGATTGAGGGTCCCAAGCAGCACCTTCACTGCCATGCCAGCTCCCCACCTCCATTTTAAAGGCTCTGATTTAGGAACTTACTCTGTCAGGTGCACGTTTGGCTAGCAGTTAAGATGTCCACAACCTACATTGGGATACCTGAGTTTGGGTCTGGGGAACAGCTCTCAAATCTCCCCCCCTTTTAAAAGATTTATTTATTTATTGGAAAATCAGATATACAAAGAGGAGGAAAGACATAGAGGTAGATCTTCTATCTGATGATTCACTCCCCAAGTGACTGCAGTGGCTGGAGCTGAGCCAATCCGAAGCCAGGAGCTTCTTCCAGTTCTCCCACATGGGTGCAGGGTCCTAAGGCTTTGTGCCATCTTTAGCTGCTTTCCCAGGCCACAAGCAGGGTGCTGGTTGGGAAATGGGGCCACTGGGACACAAACCAGCACCCATATAGGTTCCTGGGATGTGCAAAGCAAAGACGTTAGCCACTAGGCTATCACGCTGGACCTGCAGCTCCCAATTCTAGCTTCCTACTAAGGGACTCCATGGGAAGCAGCAGGTGGTGTTCTGAAGAATGGGGGCCCTTTCCACCACTGTGGGAGACCTGGATTGATTTTTTTCTTTAAGATTTATTTTTATTATGTTTTTATTGGAAAGGCGGATATACAGAGAGGAGAGACAGAAAGGAAGATCTTCCGTCCTCGACTGCTTTCCTGGGCCACAGGCAGGGAGCTGGAAGGGAAGCGGGGCTGCTGGGATAGAACTGGCGCCCATAGGGGATCCCAGGCATGCAAGGCGAGGACTTAACCACTTGCGCCACTGCGCCGGGCCCTGGATTGATTTTTTAATTGCCACTTTTTGCCTGTCCCAGCCCTGCTCATTGTGGTGGGGAGTGAAGCAGTGGATAGGAGCTCTGTGTGTATGTCTTTCTCTGCCTCTTAAATAATAGTATGTGTTTGAGGAGCAGACAGATCCATCATCTGCTGGTTTAGTTGCCACATGCACCCAACAGCTGGGACTGGATCAGTCATAAGCCAGTAGTTCACAGTTCAGTTCTGTCTCCCCATGGTGGGGGTGGTAGGGATCCAGGCACTGGGGCTGCTAGGGTGTGCATTAGTACACGGCTGCAGGGGGAATGTGAAGCTGGGACTTGAGCCTACAGACGCCACTCTGTGGCCATCCTGAGCAGTGGCCATCCGTGCCACCCAATCCTTTCACTGTTGATGTCTGGCTTATCCATCCGCCTGTGGATGGCTGTTCGGGTTGCTTTCACCCCTGGCTGGTCAGCACTGCTATGAGCAGAGGGTACCCGCATGTCTGCACACCCCTGCTCCTCCTCCTCCATCTACTGCGGAGCAGAATGGCCAACCACATGATGATTTGTGTCATTTGTCCCACCTTTTAAAATTGTGATAAAATGTAACAAACCTTTGCGTCTGTTCACGAATGTTTCTACCCTTCTGCTTCCAGAACTCAGTTTCCCCAGCTGAAATTGTCCCTGTGAGATGCCAACTGCCAATGCCCAGCACCACGGAACCTGGGCAGCTATGACTTTGTCCATGCAGGCAAAGACTCTAGGTAGCTCATACAAGTAGAATTGCAAGATACTTTATTTGTGCGTGGTTTATTGTACTTAGCACAAAGTCTTCGAGGTTCATCCATGTTGAGCATGGGTCCGAGTTTCGTTTTCACCAGAGTACTGACTACTGGCTGTGTAGATCCGGTTGTCTTATGCACACTTCAGTTGCTTCCATTTCATGGCGATGGTGAGCAACATCCTGCTGTAGCTTGGACTATGAATATCTCTTCAAGCACTGCGTTCATTTTTTTGGGTATACACCCAAGAGTACTGTTGGCTTTTGTGTTAGGTCTGATTCTTTAAGGAATTATCTTGTTTCATCCTGCACTGCTTTTCCAGGCCATTAGTGGGGAGCTGGATTGGAAGTGGGGCAGCTGGGACATGACCTGGTGCCCATATGGGATGTTGGCATTGGTAGAGGAGTAGCCTGTTGTCACCACATTGGCCTGTTGCTTTTTTTTTTTTTAAGATTTGCATATTTATTTCGAAGGTCAGAGAGAGAGAAACAGATCTTGTTTCCATTGGAATGTCTCTTCAAGTCCTTTGTCTTGGAAAAATGTTGGTTTCTCAGGAACCTTTATTAATTTTAGGATAGATTTCTCTTTCTGTAAAAACTCTTATTGGAATTTAATAGGGAAGTTTTTTTTTATCCACTTTCAACATACATGTACTTAGTCTAATGCATTTTTTCCTTATAAGATTTATTTCCTGGAAAAGCAAAATTAGAAAGAACACAGATTTTTCCATCCACAGGGTCAGTGCATTCACAAATAGCCATAGGGCCCTGAACTGGGCCAGGCCAAAGCCGAGAACCCGGAACTCCAGCCAGGTTTCTCACGTGGATGGCAGGGGCTCAAGCAACCGGTCCTCTTTGTCTTCTTTGCTTGGCACGTTAGCAGGGAGCCAGACTGGAAATGGAGCAGCCCGGACAGGAACTGGCGTCAACATGGGCAGCCCGTGCCGCAAGTGACTTAATCTACTGAGCTGTAATGCCAGTCCCTCCAAGGTGTTATTTCTAGACAGAATAAAGTGGGATCTGGAATGTTCCTTTTTTCTGATGTTATGTCAATGTATTTTTTTCCTGCTGTTATGTCACTGTATTTCAAATGGAGATTTTAATCATTTACATTTGAAGATAATAGGAAAGAGGCTTCCTTGGCATTTTGTTTGCTCTGTGTTTCCAAGTTTTTCCTGGGCCTGCCTTTCTTCCCTGACGGACTTCCTCCCTTGTAGTCTTGGTTATTTGTTGCTAGGTAACTGTCTTTCCTTTTTGGATATATTCTGGATCTTGCGATCTCTGTTATTACATGTAACATCCCTGTATTGCAATGCTCTCATTTCACTTCTAGCTTGCTGTTGAGCTATTTTGATTTTCCCGTGGTTACTTTGGCAGCCCAGTTTGCTTTTCTGTAGTTTCTTAAAGATATTCTCAATTGGTTTATGTGATTTTTCTTGACTTCCTTTATATATTTTAAACTGACTTATTTGAGCAGAGGAGCAAAACAGTGGGGTGATCAGAAAAGAGATTTTACTCACTGTTTCACTCCCACATGTGCATAGCAGCCTGGACTGGGTCAGAGGCAAAAGTCAGGCACTCAGCTCGCGTGCCAGAGGCCCAAGCAGCTGAGCGGTCAGCCTGCTCCGCGGGGTGTGCGGTCAGCAGGAAGCTGGGGAACAGAGGCGAACTCAGGCCCTGGCATGTGCCGTGGGATGTGTTGTCGTGCTTGCTAGCGCCATTTCTTTTATATCTGTGCTCACATTTCCCTCTTTGTATTTGAGATAGGCCTTTCAGTCTTCAGGTCCTCCCAGGCAGAGGTTCCTGCTGAGTCCATTTCGGCCATTTTCCTGGCCTTCCCATGGTCTCGTTATGTGATGACTTTGTATGCTGGTTGACAGTGAGGGCGTCTGAGAAGTCATGGCTCCCAGTCCTGGAGAATTGGCTCCACGTCAACAGTGATCATAGAGCATGCGCAGGGCATGTTCTGAGCCCTTAGACTGGCCTGGGCTGAGTCCCCCACGCTCTACCAGCTGCGCCGCCTTTCCCCATCTGAGCTTTTGTAGAAGGTGAAGCGGCCCCCAGAGAAGTGAGATTGTTAGAAATGAAAGCCCCCCCTCCTCCAGCAGACTCCAAGCGGTACAATCCCCCCAGCCCCGCCACAAACCCCTGCTGAGTCATCGCCTCAAACTGCAAAAGCAGGCACACCGACAATCCATTACTATTACTACCTGGATGTATAAATTCTGCCATAGGTACGGATAACAAAAAGCACGGGAAACACAGGCTGTGGTACTAGCCGTGGTTCCAGGCATCCGCTGTGGGTCTTGGAGTGGGGTGAAGGGGGCAGTGCTGCAAGGTCATGCACTGTGACCTGAGCACCTTATCCCATTCAGAGTGCGTCAGAAACTGCGGGTAAGCTCACCACAAGCCGTACTACACACCACGTGCTGTCAGACGCCACGGACAGAAACAGAGTGTGGCAAAGGGAACACTGACTTAGTGAAGGGCTGCCTTTCGCTCTCATGGTGAAGGTTAAAAAGGGTAGCATGTCATAGAATCTTAGTATTTTGCCTTTTAAAAAGGCCTTGCGGACTTCAGTGAATGCCTTTCCTAAACAAAAGGGCCCAAGTGCAGTTGAGTCTACAGCCTTCTCCCCTCAAGGTCACCGACGTGCCAGTGTGTCACTCAAGATTCAAGTATCACCTCCTGAACTCTAGGTAGCCAAAGATTTGTTAGAAACAAGCCTTATTATAAAACTGGAAAAATGTTGGATCTTTCATATGTTTTTAAAACCGGTTTCATCTGTGGTTGTCTTGCTTTGCAAAGCCTTGAAAGGGAATCAGCGTTCCACTGCTTCACAGTGAGAAAGTCATCTCAAACATACAAGCCCAGGCTGTTTGAAACACCAGTCTTCACGAGTCAAGACAGTTCAGCAAAGGCTGCACTGACACAAAGCGAGGTTTAAAGTCCCCAGAAGAGAACGTAGCCAAGAGCTTCACTGGTCCTAGGGTGTGTGTAACTTTGTAAGAAAAAGGAAGAAGCAGTTCACTTTATTCTGATAAATGTGGCATGTGCGATCCCGCAGTGTTGATTATCTGTGACTTTTTCTTTGCTCCGACTAAGTTTTTAGCCAAGTAGGAAGTCCTGCTGCAGGGGGAGACGCTGGTTCCTGGGTTGCTCATCCCTCAGAGCTTGCCGTCCTTGACCCCTTCTACATGCTCCCAGCCATCTCTCTTCCTGCTCAGGTGACTGTGACTGTGTGTGTGTGTGTTTTCTCGTTATCTCGATGTTTATGCCCCTGCACCGAAGCTGTCCCTTTGATGGCTTTGTGCCCTGGAGTGGGCACTTGGTATAGGACTGAGAATAGCAGACAGGAGATGGCTAGGTAAGACCCCCAGTAGCAACAAGACTGCATCTATAGACACTCCAGACTGGTCACAGAAATTGTGAATTGTGACAAAGCATGCACGGACTTCTAAATTTGCAGGCATGTGTGTTAAGACTATCTCTACACAAACACTAGTTCATAGCATGTATTGCATATGTATGCTATTTTACCAGTTAAAACTTCTCAACCTTCTCACACTGCAATAACCATTTTATCTTTACTGAAGTAGGTGGACTACCACATTGTTACTGTATTTACCATTCAGCATCTCCAAGACTCAACCTGCTGGTTGCTGCAGCTGTGTGAGGCTCTTGCCCAGACGCCAGGCTGGGGATCCTTCGGTAAGCTCCATGTTGGAGGTAACTCCACATTTGAAGTTAGTGAACGAGGAAACTTTGTCTTCAAAGAAAAGCTTAGTGCTGTTGAGGTACCCAAAATTTACGTATTTCCCAGAATACTTCAGCCCTCATTTCTTTAAAGATCAGCATCAAAGGATTATGAGACAGGTGGAGCCAAAGCTTCCGTTGGCTCCTCCCCCTTGGCATGTGTGCAAAGCTGAGGCGCTCTGTAAGATCTAACTCTGACAAGTTCATCAGTTGGCAGCAGCCATGGGCCGACGCAGCTCCAGGCTCTGGGATCGAGCTTCTAGAACCATGAACTGGATAATGACATGGAAGGACCACAGCGGCAGGAAGCTGGACCTTCCTTTCTACGTTTGGTTTCTTTCTTTTAGCACTTATTTTTCTTAAAATTGGTAATTAGGTTCACCACTTTATATATTCTTACTAAATACCTGAAGTGGAACCAAATGTAGTGGGAGAAACTCACAGTTCATTAAAAATTACATTATCTACCCTCTTAGAGAATTAACCATATTCTCCTTCAAATATCTGGACACTGTATACAGGACAGAGTCCTAGTGAGACGATGGGGACCTGTGGCCACGCCTCACCAGCTTCCTAGCAGCACACTGCGTTTTCAAAGGGGGAAAGCCTTGGGTGCCAACGCTGGTGGGCACCCCACAAGCCTAGCCAAGTGTGCACTTCACTACAGTTGTAATGTGACATTAGCCTGAGAACCAAGAGTGTGAGCTTCAGTCCTGTGTCTTAAAGAAATAATGTGACAATGAGCCTGCTACTGCTCTATCATACATTCATATTTAAATAGGAAAAATACACAGAAAACATTTTTTAAAAAGGTTTAAGATCATAAATAGGTCATTGTTGTCACAACACATTTCAAAGTTTTTAAAAAACAAACATTTTGGCTTTCCAAGAAAAATTACTTTAAAAATCAATTCGCTCATCACTGAAAGGACTTGTACAATTTTAAGCTCCCAGGTTCCTAAGGCACGGTATTTGTTGAATCAGAAGGCCAGTGTCCCCGCCCGCTGCTGCAGGAGGCAAAGCACGGACAGCAAACCCGCAGAGGCGCAGCTCATTTTAGAAGAAACAACAAACTCGGTGAGCGTCTCTGTGACAAAGGCCCAGTGTTACGGCAGGATGTTGTTTAAACAAGCTTTTTGGCTGTAGCAGTTTAATTCACCACATGGGCAACGAGAGAAGAAGGGGACCAGCAAAATCGAGGGTGAGGTCTGTGAGGACGGCTGGGGGGCAGCTGGCCGGGGCCCAGGCCCGAGGCCTCGCAGGTCTCCGGGCAGACCCCGACCGAGCACCGCTCCAGCCGAGACGTAAGGGAAATCTAACGCTGACTCTTACTTCCATTCCAATCCAAAAGTTTTTTTTTAACAAAATTGAAAATGCCTTATTTTTAACTCTGCCTATTTTATATGTACAATGTAGTGATTCACTTTGATAAGGAAAAACAAAACCCACAATGTGATTGTCCACAGATGGATCGCAGGCTGAGGTTCACGACTGAATCATGGAGTGTTAGTCGATTGTAAACTCCTGAAAGGTGAGACTGGGAAAGGAGAGCGGGGGCCGAGGGAACCCGTCATTCCAATTCTGACAAAGTGCAGGGTCTTCGGAATTCCTGTCCGCGTTCATGCAGCCACTTATTGGATACTGTGGGACAGAGAGATTCAACAAGTTATTTCAACAGAAGCTAAAAGTCAAAAACGGACAAAACCAAATGTTTATGTCCCGGAGGCGTGCATGCATGTGGAAGTCTGTGCCTTCCCTGAGGTCTGCAGTGCTCTAGTGAGGCCTGAAGTGAAACCGAGCAGAACACTGATCTTCAAAATAGATATCTTTTTTTTTCTTTTTTCAGATTTATTTTTATTGCCAAGTCAGATATATATAGGGAGGAAGATCTTCTGTCCATTGATTCACTCCCCAAGCAACCGCAATGGCAGGAGCTGCACTGATCCGAAGTCAGGAACCTCCTCCAGGCCTCCCATGTGGGTGCAGGGTCCCGAGGCTTTAGATGGGAAGTGGGACTGCCAGGATTAAAACTGGCGTTCAGGGCCCGGCGCGGTGGCACAGTGGTTAAGGTCCTCGCCTAGCACGCCCGGGATCCCATATGGGCACCGGTTCTAATCCCGGCAGCCCCGCTTCCCTTCCAGCTCCCTGCCTGTGGCCTGGGAAAGCAGTCGGGGACGGCCCAAAGCTTTGGGACCCTGCACGCGTGTGGGAGACCCGGAAGAGGCTCCTGGCTTCGGATCGGCATAGCATCGAATGTTGCGCTCACTTGGGGAGTGAAACATCGGATGGAAGATCTTCCTCTCTGTCTCTCCTCTCTGTATATCTGCCTTTCCAATGAAAAAATAATAAAAATAAATCTTAAAAAAAAAAAAACTGGCGTTCAAAGTGAGGACTTTAGCAACTAGGCCATGGCGCCAGGCCCCAAATACAAACATCTTAATGATGAGCTCAGCTTCACCAGAGGAATGTATCTGATGAACTATCGTGTGCTCATTATCTTTCCTTGTTTCCTAGATGTTTGAAAATATTTACTCAAAAGGTGGGGTGGCAGAGGGGGATCCTTTGTCCATCTGCTCATTCCCCAAACTGCCACAACATCCGAGGCCAGTCTTGCATGGAAGCCAGACTCACAGAACTCCATCAGCGGCCCAGAGGTGAGACCCGAGTATCTGAACCATCACCTGCTCTTCCAGGGAGCACGTTCGCACGCAGTTGGACTACAGGGAGGCAAGGGCCAGGGTTGTGGCATAGGGATTAAGCTGCCACTGGCAACCCATACAAGCACCAGTTTGGGTCCTAGCTGCCCCGCCCCTGGGAAGGCAGGGGAGATGGCCCAAGTGTGGTGAGCCCCTGTTCCCATGTGGGATACCCAGAAGAAACCCCTGTTTCAGCTTGGCGTCCCTCTGGCAAGTAAACAAACAGCTGGAAAATATCTTCTCCACTCTGAAACCCTTTCAAATAAACTTGCCTTTCATCTCTAAAATGCACTAAACTCTCTTGCTGCTCCGCTCCAGGTTCCCTCACCAGCTGCTGAAGACCACACAACTCCTGTCAACCCACGCCCCCCACCTTGCCTCTTCTCAGTGAAGCCCACCACCTGCCAACATGGTAGCGACTGTCAGTCACGATCAGGTCTGGTCAATCCTGCTATGCCCTTACAGTAACCAGCAGACATTTGTTCTTAAGATGTGATAGTGACAGCAAAATTGTTCCACTTTTTATACTGACCGCAGTACATCCTCATCGTGCATGACCATGAAGGTGAAGATGTTCAATCTTCTCCAAAAATTTTTTATTTGAAATAAGAGGTGGCTGGGGGAGGAGGGAAGGGGCAGGGGCAGAGAATCTGTCTGCTGGTTCACTCCCCAGATGAATGAGACAGCTGTGACTCTGGCTGAAGCCAGGAGTTTCCTCCGAGTGTTCTAAATGGGTGCAGGGCCCAAGTACTTGAGTTATCTTCCACTGCTTTCCTGGGCCTTGTCAGGGAGCTGGAGCAGCAGGGATACAAATTGGTGCCCATATGGGATATCAGTTCTTCAGATGGAATATTACCTTGCTATGCTACTACTTAGGCCACATGAGGCTGTCTTTAAAGCTGCTACTCTAGGGCCTGGCGGCATGGCCTAATGGCTAAAGTCCTTGCCTTGACCGCGCTGGGATCCCATATGAGCGCTGGTTCTAATCCCGGCAGCCCCACTTCCCATCCAGCTCCCTGCCTGTGGCAGACCTGGAGGAAGTTCCTGGATCCTGGCTTCGGATTGGGGCAGTTCCAGCCATTGTGCTCACTTGGGGAGTGAATCATCACATTTAAGATCTTCCTCTCTGTCTCTCCTTCCCTCTATCTGACTTTCCAATAAATAAATAAATCTTAAAAAAAAAAGCTGCTACTCTAGCCTTCCAAGAGCCCAGGTTTGAAAAAGGTGTCCCAACTTAGGGAGTCATCAACTTCAACTTTTATTTATTAGCACATCTCAGATTATGAACTCCTTGAAAGGAGTTTTGGTTACGCCTCGTATCAGTACCAGTTCAAGTTCCAGTTACTCCAGTTACAATCCAGCATACTACTAATGTGCCTGGAAATCAGGAAAAGATGACCCAAATGTGATTTCTGTCACCCACAGGGGAGACCCAGATGGAAATCTTAGCTTCAGCCTGGCTGAAGCTGCCACTGGGTGAACCAGCAGATGGAAGTACACTATAGCATTAATTTTGAAATAAGCCACTCTCTGAAAACATTAAGACCAAGAATGTGTCTTGCCCTGCTGAGGTCATACTAGGGTGGGCAGATGTACAGAGGCTTTTAAGATGTTGATGGAAACAGCTTCAAGAAATGAGACAGAAGTATTTTCAGAGCAAACAGCAAGCACTTACCCCATTTGTTTCCCACCAGCACTGGGCAGGCTGCATGCCGTGTACTGTAATCTCCTTCTCCGCTGGCAAACAAATTATACCAGAAAACAGCAGTGCCCTGTAAGAACATCACGTCACTCCCTGGGCCAGGACGGACAGGTAAGCACTACATCTGGCTCGAACGTATTTATGAAAACATACCACTTTAAAAACTTTGTTCAATTATGTGGAAGTTAACATTACAAAGCTGCCCCTGACTAGGAGTATGTGCCGAAGTCAGCAGACTACACTATGGAGGGGCAAACATACCTGTAACAATTTTAGAAATGAAAACTCGTCAAGTAGAAGTACCTGGGGGATTGTTATCTCTAGGTACTCTTAGTAGATTGTTCCACAAAGATACTCGAAACGTTGCCTAGCAATAACGCAGCACTTACGCTGCCTTGAAAATGTAATACAGTACTAAGAAAAACCCACTTACTTTTTTGGGCCATACGCTAGCTCCTACTTCAGGAAAAACAGTGGCTCCTCCTGCAGACACGTCACTCATCTGTAAGGGACAAGAGGGCATGCTGAGTAAGTGTGAGGTCCCAGCTGAGTCAGCTGCTCTCCTGGCAGCACAGCCTTGGGGCACCCACCCACCTTCACGAGGTGGGGAGTCAGTTGCCCTGAGGCTGGCGCTGCTCCCCACCTCCCGCTTAGAGGGCGGGAGAATGACATCCAGACCACAGAGCCAGCATCAGGCACCGCCCCAGGCCGAGGACCAGTTAACTGATTCTCCCTCCGACTCCGGCAGGCAAGAGTAAGCTGGTAATCCTTGGGCAGCAGGAGTCCAGGGCAGGGCTCCTGCAGTGAGCACAGAGAGACCCCGATCCCTGGAGTCCCGTGCTTGCTGGGGGAGCCGCTCAGCCTGCCCTGGCCTCAGGTGACCTCTGACCAAACAGGAAGGACTCAGCAGGGCCTGAATCACTGCCAGCCACAGGCAAGCTGGGCGCACAGACCTATTCAGTGCTGAGAATGAGGTAACAACCCAGTTTAGCACCAACCTTAGTGGACATGGGACTTCCCTCATCGTACCTCCCGCCCCTGGGGAGCAGGGCAAGAAAGAATAGGTCTGGGAACTCAGTGCCAGGTGGTACAATCCTACAGTTCCTGGCTCTAGGTCAGCGCCAGTGGATAGAACCTGCAGGTTCACCTGAGTGGACCTGTATCTCAGCCAGCTTCCCCCTGGGCTGGCAGCATGGTGTTGCTCCTAGCAACGTGTTAGACGGCCCGTGCAGGCATGGAGTTGGTGGAGTTGGATTAGCTACCCCTCTGCTCCCCTACTCTGCACAGCATCAACTCTGTGGTGACAGTACTGGCACCTTGAGGGGAGAAAATGAAGATTCACAAGCACTTGCACAGGAGCGGGTGCTGCTTCTCCTTGCCGAGCGCGCAGTGGGCAGGACCCCGGCACCCGACCGTGAACGTGGGAGAACGTGATACACTTGGGATCACTTCTCAGTAACTTAGACACAGACACAACTGCAGATTTTGGATAAACTTGGGCTTTGGATGCCCTCTACTGCTGGAATAGTGATGCTATGCCAACACAGGAGTCCTGGCCAATGTGAACCCAGGACACCAATTAATGCTGGAACGGCCCAAGTGTCCGCAAGCTGAGAGAGGCCGCTTAGTAAACACAAAAGCCAGGTAATTAGAATAAACACCTCCTGCAAGGTGCAGATGTCAACAAGCACCAAAAACTGAGGGGATTGTGACCTCCTAAGATGGATAAAGTGTCTGCCCCTGACCCCTTAGCAATTAGCGCCTTTAAACCTGCAAGTACTCATGTTAACGACTCCGTTGCAAGCAACAGGAACTTATATGATATTCTAACAGAGAAACTTAATTCAAACATTTTTAGCTGAATAAATACATACCCAAAGCTCTGGGCCGTCCTCAACTGCTTTCCCAGGCCACAGCAGGGAGCTGGACGGGAAGCAGGGCCACCGGGATTAGAACCAGTGCCCACATGGGATGCTGATGCATTTAAGGTGAGGACTTTAGCCACTAGGCCACCGCACCGGGCCCTGGGTTAATAAATCTGAAACATCACTGTAAAATGTAGGATGTAAACTGATAAAACTTCTACAGCGCGCTTACCTCCAGAAAACAGAAGCCCCGAGAGCATAAATTTGTATCCCACCACCCTCAGTGCTGGTCTTCCCAGTGATATGCCTCACTTAGGCACAGGAGGCTGGCATCAACGCTTAGGACCCTGCCACCCATGATGCAGACAAGGATGAGTTCCAGATGCTGGCTTCAAGCACACCCCAGTCCTGGCTGTAGGGACCATTTATGGAATGAACCAGCAGAACAAATTCTTGCTACTTCCCAAATGAAATCATATGTATGTTCCAATGTCCTGTCTTACATGCTCTTCAGTGGCAGGGTCTATGTTCCTTGAAGCTAGGCACATCTTGTTCATTGCCTCAGTTGATACAATACAGCAGGTGTTACCACTGTAAGACTTCTGAGTGTGGGCCCTAACAATGCCTTTGACTTGGACAGTTTCAGATCCGGTCTCATAAGGTGAGGTAGCCTGGGGGACATGAATGAGCCTGCACTGCAGCCATGCCAGTGCAGTGCCAGCCTCAACCTTAACGCTGACCCACAGCCAGACCCACACACAACAGGTCTGGAGCAGGACACATAGCTCGATCCAGGCAACTGCACACCTGTCACTATGAAACTATCACTATTTTAAACAATTCAGTCTTGCTCTGATCAAAACTTTTCCTGTCTGTATGAATACTTCCTAAAAATTAAGGTCATACTGCTGAAACTTTGAACTGTATGACAGCTGTTACCTTGGTAAGGCTTCCTGGGTGCTGTAATATGCCACTGCTTGACCTTGGTGTTGATTACACCAAATGTGTTCTTTTTATAAAAAACCTTTGGAAGGGGGCCCGGTGCGCGGTGGCCTAGTTGCTAAAGTCCTCACAATTAATGCGCCAGGCTCCCATATGGACGCCGGTTCTAATCCCAGCAGCCCTGTTTCCCATCCAGCTCCCTGCTTGTGGCCTGGGAAAGCAGTCAAGGATGGCCTAAAGCCTTGGGACCCTGCATCTGTGTGGAAGACCTGGAAGAGGCTCCTGGCTCCTGGCTTCAGATAGGCTCAGTTCCAGCCATTGCAGTCACTTGGGGAGTGAATCATTGGACAGAAGATCTTCCTCTCTTACTTTGCAATGAAAATAAATAAGTCTTTATGAAAATATAGAAATTGAGAGATTCCTGTGTGTTTATATTACATATAAATAAATGGATAACAAATATTTTGGACTATGGAATATCTCCAAAAAGTAGCACCATCCAGATTTTACTTTTCATCATCATCACAGGTTTTGTGAGTGTTTCAAGTTTTATTTTTATATGTGTAAGGCAGATAGAGGGAGATAAAGAGATCTTTCATTTGTTAGTTCACTCCCCAAATGGCTGCAACAACCAGATTGGGCCAGGTCAAACCCAGCAACCAAGAATTTCTTCCAGGTTTTCCACATACATGAGCAGCACGAGCCCTAAACATCTGGTCCATCTTCCATCGTTTTGTAGGCCGGCCTTAAGGAGCCAGATTGGAGGAGGAGCGGCCAGGACTTGAACTGGTGACCGTAAAGATTTAACAATACCAGCTCCCTTCTTCATGTTTTTTCAAAAGTTTCCATAATTAACATCTACACTACAATTTGAAAAAGTTGCAAATGCAACAAAATTCTTAATTCTTTTAACTCAGTTATAAAAACTTTAAGTTACCTACTTAAAAGAATTATGCAGAACAAACAGATCAAAATCAGTTATGCAATTAAGTCTCAAAATATAAAAACTTTAACTTACATAAAACAGCCATGTGGCAATTCTATTTCCTGTCCCCAGCTCTTTGAAAGCATCTGGTTCATCTTTCTGTGAATAAAACAGCAAATCCAATGGCTTAAAATTTCTCAATATAAATTATCAAGTAGTAACATGCTAAAAAATATGCAAAAAAAAAACAAGCCCCAAAAGACCCCTGACGATGTCCTATGCACTGAGCACACCAGGCGTTCAAATGCTGACTGACTGTCGAGTTGGTTCCTACCCACTGGATACTTCTGGCAAGAACAAGGCAGGGAAACATTTTTGCAAATCTCTGCTAACTACAGATTATTTAAGAAATCAAAGACTACAATCTTACCTTCCAGAAAAATAAGACCTGAGAGCCATTTTTTTAGCTACATTCATGAAACCAACTTCCCATGGGTAAAGAGATTTTGAGATTTACCTTCAACTCATGACCCTCTCAAATACTAACTCCAATCATGGCTGTCATCCTCTTAAGAGAGTCAGCTCTTAAATCAGGCTGGAAAATTCGTGTTTAGCTATTTAAACCTAAATATAAAGAGCAAGATAATCTTTGTGCATTTATCCTAGAAAAATGAAAACATTCTTCACATGAAAATTTATACACATTCTTAGATGTGAAAACAAACAGTAAAGTATCCTAATGTTCTTCAAAGGGTGATGGATAAATTGTTAAATCCATGGAACACTATTCTGCAATAAAGAAAAACCCAGTACTGTCTTGAAGGAGAGGTTTTATGTGGTATTGAAAGGCATACAGAGATCTTCCATCTGCTCATTTGTCCCCTAAATGCCTGCAATAGTCAGACTGCATGTGACTGACTGGAACCCAACGCGCTGAGCCACCCTCTGCCTCCGAGTTTGCACTTTGGGAGGCTGGCTCTTAATTGCAACAGCCAGGGTTTGAACCAGGCTCTCAGGTATGGGATACAGTACGCCCAGGGGCAACCTACCTGCTGTGTCAAATATATTGCCCTTTTAAAATTTTCTTAAAAATGCACTGGGGGCCAGCACCATGGTGTAGTGGGTAAAGCTTCCACTTGTAAAGGTGGCAACCATCCAGGGGGCAGATCAAGTCTTAGCTGTTCCACTTCCAATCCAGCTTCCTGCTAACGTCCTTAAGAAGCAGCAGAGGATGGCCCAAGTGCTTGGGTCCCTCTCACCTATGTATGGCCGGTCTCAGGCTGGCCCAGCTCCAGCTACTGTATAACCATCTGGGGAGTCAGTGTTTGTAAGATCTTTTTCTCTGCAACTCTGCCTTTCAAATAAGAAAAATTTTTTAATGATTTTTTTAAATTGGAATCAGATTTATACAGAGAGGAGAGACAAAGATCTTCTATCTGCTGTTTCACTCCCCAAGTGACTGCAACAGCCAAAGCTGAGCTGATCTGAAGCCAGGAGCCAGGAACTTCTAGGTCTTTTGAGTCTCCCACATGGGTGTAGTGTCCTCACAGCTTTCCCAGGCCACAGGCAAGGAGCTGGATGGGAAGCAGGGCTGCCAGGATTAGAACTGGCACCCATATGGGATCTCGGGTGTGAAAGGCAAGGATTTTAGCCAGTAGGCTACTGGGCCAGGCCCAAATAAATAAAATTTTTACAAATGTATCTGTCAGACACAAGGAAAAAGCTGCCATCTATTGGTTTACTTCCCCAGATGTCTACAACAGCCAAGGTTGGGCTAGGCAGAAGCTTAAAGCCAGAAATTCATCAGGTCTTCCACACAGGTGGCATGAGTCATCGGCACCTATACTCTCCAGCATCTGCATTAGCAAGAAGCAGGATCAGGAATCAAATTCAGGCACTCCAACGTGCGACACAGGCATCTGGCCGGCCAAGTTAAATGTCTGCCCAGCACACATTAATGAAACTACATACAGGAACTTGGATGTGGGACAGGAATTTGCCTTAGCAGTTTTTTTTTTTTAATTGAAAGGCAGATATACAGAGAGGAAGATCTTCCGTCCGATGATTCACTCCCCAAGTGAGGGCAACGGCCGGTGCTATGCTGGTCCGAAGCCAGGAACTTCTTCCGGGTATCCCACACAGGTGCAGGGTTCCAAAGCCTTGGGCCATCCTCGACTGCTTTCCCAGGCCACAAGCAGGGAGCTGGATGGGAAGCGGGGCTGCTGGGATAGAACCGGCGCCCATATGGGATCCCGGGTGTGCAAGGTGAGGACCTTAACCAATGTGCCACAGCATCGGGCCCTGCCTTAGCAGTTTTTAAAAACATGCTTAAAAGGCTGGCATTGCAGTACAATGAATTAAGTCACTGCTTGCAATGTCAGCAGCCCGTATGAGGCCCAGTCCTGGTTGGCTCTCCTTACAATCCAGCTCCCTGCTTGTGTGCTTGGGAAAGCATCCAACGTGTCTGCTCACGTACCCCCTGAGTAGCAGCCATTGATGGCTCCAGCACTGGGTCCCTGCCATCCTCGTGGGAGACCAACACTGAGTTTTGGACTCCTGGCTTTGACATGGGTTAGCTCTGTCTATTTCTAGCATTCGGGAAATAATTCAGCATATGGAAGATTGTTCTGTCTCTGCCTTTCAAATAAAGTGAAAAATAATTAAAAACAAAAAACACTTAGAGGCTGGCACTGTGGCACAGCAAGTTAGGCTGCTGCCTACAGTGCCAGTATCCCATATGGGCACTAGTTCAACAGCAGCCACTCCACTTCGGATCCAGTTCCCTATTAATGGCCTGAGAAAGCGGTGGAGGATACCACAAGTGCCTGGTTCCCTATACCCATGTGGGAGAACCTGAAGGAGCTCCTGGCTTTGGCCTGACCCTGGTCACTGCAGCTATTTGGGGAACAACTTAACAGATGGAAAATCTCTCTCTCTTCTGTAACTCTGCCTTTCAAATAAATAAAATACTTTCTTAAAAAAAAAAGGGGGGGCAGACTTAGAGGCTGGCATTGTGTCACAGCAAGTTAAGCTGTTATTTGTGTTGCAACATCCTGTATCAGAGTGTAGTTCAAGTCCCAGCTATTTAGCAAGGATCCACACCCATGCGGATGTGCCCGCGAAAGCGGCAGCAGATGCCCCACAGCCCTATACGTCTACTACCCACGTGCGGGGCCAGGATGGGTTCCTGGTTCCTAGCTTTAACCTGACCCGGTTGCAGCTATTGGGCTATCAGAGGAATAAATTAGCAGATGCATAATCTCTCTTTGTCTCTCCCTGAAACTCTGCCTTTCAAATAAGAATAAATCTAAAAAAAAAAAAAAAAAACTTAGATGATCATCAATGGAATTATACTTAGTTTAAAAAAAAAGGATGCATATTTTAGGATTTCATGTATATAGCCTTGACATGCTTACAAGAGATTTTGGTTACAGCAGTTGGGGAAGGAAGCAGGACGGACGGACACAGCTACAGAGCGGTGCTAAGTGTCCTGTCTGAATCAAGGTTGGCCACACAGAGCTGCATCTGTGACACAACTGCACAGAGCCACGTATGGTAACGAGCTGTGCAGGTTAGCTTGAATCAGCTCTATGAACTGGGCCAGGGCCAATTCCTGGCTTTGACAGTATCCGCTAGTCACATGGGCATCAGCATTTGTAGAAAGCCGAGTGATGGGTACATGGGACCTATCCTCTGAGCTTTGTATTCTTCCAAATTCTTTAAGATTGATTTTTTTTTTTATTTGAAAGGCAATTACAGAGAGAGGGTACACTACCCAAGTGGCCACAAGAGCCAGGCACAGCCAGGCAGAAGGCAGGCGCTTGGAACCGCAGCCCAATCTTCCACATGGGCGTCAGGGGGCCAAGTAGTTGGACCATCTTCCACTGCATCCCCAGGTACATTAACATGAAGCTGGACTGGAAGCAGTGCTCTGTTAAGGGATGCTGGCATAGCAGGTGCAAGCTTAAAGCAGCACCATAAGGCAGCCCATATTTTTCAGTCTGTTCATATCTGTTTTTATTTTCCTATGTGTCAAAATGCTTTTTTATGAACTCTTCAGAGCTAATTGTCAATTAATTTGCTTAATCTGTTTTTAATCCATCTCTTAATTTTTAATTCACAGACTAGATTTTAAATTTTTATAATTCCTTTTTTTCTGCCTACTACTAGCTTATGCTTATTTGTTAAATTTCCAAATCATTTGGAGAAGTTTCTTTTGTTTCTTCTTTTAATTTGATAATTCTATCTAAAATCCTGGGGATGTCTGAATCTACTCATTACTTTGGTCTCACTGATCAGTTCCAGGTGCACACTGCAGCGCGACACACTAAGCCACTGCTTGGGATACCTGTCTTACATCAGAGTGCCTGGTTCCAGTCCCAGGTCCTCATCGATTCCCATCCAGTGTCCTGCTAAGATGCCCAGGAAGTGGCAGAGAGAGCCATGTGCTCAGGTTCCTAATACCTGGGTGGGAAATCCAGATGAAGTCCCTGGCTCCGGCCTGACTGCTGAAGGCATTTGGGCAGTAAATCAGCAGAAGGAAGATCCATCTCTCTTTCCTAGTCTCTCCTTGCCCACCCCTTGGCTCTGTCACTTTGTCTTTCAAATAAAAATAATGTCTAAATAAAAAAAGGAGGGTTCCTTTTTAGCTGCAGTGATAGAACGAGGCTGTTTAGCTCCAGAGAAAATACAGGTTTCTGCCAGCTATCAAGGAACACTAGCCAACTCAGAAACTTTCATTTCTCCTCTTCCCCAGTAGGAAAAAGTCAAACAACAGATCTGTGGGAGGGCAGGTCTGTGCAATAAAACGTCCAGAGCAGCCACAGCCAGGCAGGATGGAGATCGACAGCATTTCCCATGGCTCCTGTCCCAAACAGACTCTTCCGCTGATGCTCTGGCTGCAAGCGGACTCATCCTGCTCACTCTCGGGCTTCTGCAGCCCCACTGTGCAGCTCCACTCACAGAGCTGCTCACCCATGGCTGAGGCCTCGTCTTTTTTGCCCCCTTTTTGTTCTTTAATTTTAGCTCCAGGTTTTCTTTCTTTTTTCACTTTAGCTTTAGGAATATCTTTGATGTTCTTAAGAATCACCAATACATTCCAAAGCCTCTAAAATGCTTTTACTGGGTATCTGTGGTGCTTTCTAAAAGGCTTCATTAGAACATCTATCCTACCACACTTCCAACAAATTGCAATAGGCCCTGAATGTTAAATTTAAAAATAAACACACTGACCAAGATTTTCCCCTTGACCAAATTCTACTGAGGCCCCTCTGAACTCTCTTCTCAACTAGGTCTTGACTTCTGGACTGCCATGACTGTATCTACATTGTCGAATTTTAACAAGAGTCCTGCAAAGTTAGTTTAGCCAAAAATCGCCACACACCCCACATCTAACTCCTTCAATATAATTGATTCCTCATCCTCTATTGTCCCTTAGGGGATGTCTGATCATCTCACGCCGACTTCATCAAGAATCTCATGCTGCATTAGGCACAATCCAAACTTTCCATGTACTGTCCCCATCCCTCCTCCTTGGTAATTTTCCTTAGTAGATCCCGAGTGAGCTTTCTCTCACACTGTAAAACCCACTGAGAGCTCCCGACACCTACAACAGCTCTCCCTTGAAGACAGGCTACTGTCTCCAACAAGTGCTTCATCAGCAGTGTTTTCTTTAAACACAGTCAGTATGCTTCAGCAGATTTCTTACATTTTCTATTCTTGCTTTAACTTACCCGTGCAAAGTCAAAGTGCGGTTCATACTGTCCTCCAACTCCATAATTTGCTACCTGAAGGAAAGAAAAGCATGAATGAAAGAAGCATCAAGAGAACTACTGTTCCTATGTACAAAAAAGCAAAGTGTTTAAGCAACAGGAGGGCCAGTATTGTGCTGCGCCGGGTAAGCCAGTGTCTGCAGCGCCAGAGTGCTGCCTGGAGAACCCAGCTTCTGCTAAGGCACAGGGAGGGCAGCAGATGGTGACCCAGAGCTTAGGCTCCTTGCCACACAAGTGAGATCCAAGCTGTTGGTTTTAGCCTGTCCAGTCACACCACTGTGGTCATCTAGGAAGGGAACCAGTAAATCAAGATCTGTGTCTCTCCCTGTCACTCTGCCTTTTAAATAAACACCTTACTATTATATTTTCGAACAATAAATCAGAATTATCAAGAAAAAAAGCTTAGTGTGCTCTTCTAGACTCTAAGTTAATATGTTTTTAATTTATATAAGATAAATGAAGATTTATTTGAAAGGAAGAATTACAGATAGATCTTCATCTATGGCTTACTCCACAAATGACCACATTAGCTGAGGCAGGGCCAGGCTCAAGTCAGGAGCTTCATCTGGGTCTCCCACAAGGGGCAGGGACCCAAGACCTCAGGCCATCGCCTACTGCTTTCCCAGGCACATTGGCAGGGAACTGGATCAGAAATGAAGCAGCTGCGACTCGAACTAGCATCCATGTGGAGCTGGCAGGCTAAGCTGCTGCCTCCAGTGTCCCAGCACCAACCCCACTCAGTGCGCTCTTCTTCAAACGTTTGGGGGATATTTTTTATCTACCTAACTTTAAATAAAATTTTGATATTTCTACTATTTATTTTCACTACATATTTTCCACTGGAATTTAAAATATTCTTCCCAAATGCTAGTGAATTTTCAATATGTTAGTTTCAAAATCCTCGTTTTTTTTTCCCTGCTAATGAAAATTGGGAAAGAAATTCACATCAACTTAATTATTTCTCGTGAAAGACTTGTTAGGGTCAGTTTGCTATGGGCATGTCCTCATGTGAGACTGGGAAGGGGAGGGGACAAACCAACCCAGAAAAGAAAGGGGAACACTTGGTCAGAGCTTAAGTTCCGGATCTCAGTAACATGTTATGGCTCTTGGTACAAAGTCAGTGTTCCTATTTGTAAAATGAGAATACACCCTTCCTCAATCTGTTCCCTTTATCACAAGATGACAAAATGAAGCAACAATGTCACTAGGAGAACTCGGCTTACAACATGGGAGGACAGTGTTGCACACTGCCCAAGTGAGTCAGTACAAGCACTCTGGAGAGTTCACATTTTATATCACAGACAGTGCTGGATAAAACTAGTATATAAAACTGTATTTATTGGCCTCAAAGCCCTTGTGAAGATCAGGTAGGTTAAAGCAAATACAGATCAGAAAGAGAAAGACATAAATTTTTTGCAAGATTTTTATTTCATTTATTTGGTGCAGAGTGAGAGAGACAGAGAGAGAGAGACACCAAGATGTTCCATCTGCTGACACACCCCAGATGGTCACAATGGCCATGGCTGGACCAGGCCAAAGCCAACACCTTCACTTGGGTCTCTAATGTGGATGCCATGGACCCAAATACTTGAGCTACCTTCCACTGATTTTCCTAGGACATTAACAGGAAGCTGGGATCAGAAGTGGAAAAGCTGAGAAAACAAATTGGTGCCCATGTTGGATGCCAGTGTCAAAGGCAGCAGCATTACCTGCTACACCACAACACTAGCCCCCATGAACTTTTAAAAATAATCAGATAAATTCCATGGACATTGTAGATTACTACACAATAAAGACAACATAATTAAGGAAATTTAAAAATAGGCAGTTCTGCAGTTCTGTTCTGTACTCTTATAATATGTACAAATCATGGTTACCAAGAGATACTAACTATGAGGACCTGCATGAAGCATACACTTTTCTATTGCTTCAGTCCACAAATTATGTCTAACCACTAAGCACCATGACGAGTGGCCCACATCACCTCCTGCAGTCAGCCGGCCACTGTCAGTGGTCTCTCAGCTCCTGCTCAGCTGTGCTGCCTCCTTAACTCCCAGTGATAAGCCTTGGATCAGTCCACTTCAGAGCTCTCACGGACACTTGACGACATTAAACCACAGACGATGACCATTCGCAAAGCACAAGGAAGAGGCTCAAAGTTACATAAAAGGAAAAGTTCTGCTTAAACTACTCTTGTGTTTAGGAAGAAATAATATCAATATACTTAATCTCAATATTTTTAACTCCCAAGATAAGTTCCATATAACTGTCAGGACAATTCAGTAGGCAGAATGGTCTTCAGCAGCTATCCCAATAGTGAGCCCATTTCATATGATGTGCAAAAGTTAAAATGGATTAAAGTCCTGAATATCACAGCCACCTTCTTAGAACAAATCACAAGTATAAAATCTTAGTGAGCTTGGTCAAGGCAATGTCTTCTTAACTAGTTAAACTACAAGCAACCAAAAACAAATCAGACTTCATCACAATGCAAAAGTTTTGTGACAAAGAACACCATGAGGAAAGTGAAAAGACAAAGAATGAAAGAAAAAAATCGTAACTCGTGTGCTTTTTAAGGGTGCAGTAAACAGAATACACAAAAACACGTATTGGAGCAGGTGATGTGGTGCAGTGCGTCACACCACCGCCTGACATCAGCACTGCATGTGTGCCAGTTCCAGTCCTGCCAGCTCTCACTGAAACTGGAAAAGGCAGTAGATAATGGCCCAAGGACTTGGGTCCTGCACCTGCATGGGAGTCCCCAGGGCAGAGCCTGCTCTAGCTAGTTCGATTATTTGGGAAGTCAAATACTACATGGAAGATCTCCAACTCTGCCTTTTCCAATGTTAAAAATGAGCCATACTAAGTACTGACAAGCCTGTGAAGGAACTGAAATCCTCATATATACTACTGGATCATAAGATGGTACCGGATAAAAAGTTGGTAGTTCCACAAATGCTAAACAGCAATCCCACTTCTAGATATACAAGGCTACTTTGGAAAATTCAAGGAAAATAAAATTAGAAGTTAATGTGAATTTTCATGGACTTTATGAAGTAGTTCTAGTTATTCAAGAGAAATTTAAATGTTGTTCACATAAAAACACATACGTGGGCCCGACTTTAGCAGCTAAAGTTCTTGCCTTGCACGCACCAGAATCCCATATGGGCGCCGGTTCCAATCCCAGCAGCCCCACTTCCCATCCAGCTCCCTGCTTGTGGCCTGGGAAAGCAGTCAAGGATGGCCCAAAGCCTTGGGACCCTGCATCCGTGTGGGAGACCCAGAAGAGGCTCTGGGCTCCTGGTTTCAGATGAGCACAGCTCCAGTCATTGCAGCCACTTGGAAAGTGAATCACTGCACAGAAGATCTTCCTCTCTGTCTCTCCTCCTCTGTATATCCACCTTTCCAATAAAAATAAATCTTAAAAAAAAAGTAAAACCATGCAACTGTGTAATGCAGAATTATGCCTAAGCCAAATATGTGAAAACTCAAATATATCAGCAGATGAACAGATAAGTAAGTGGACATCCACTAAACCAGGTACTCCTGTCCATGAAAAAGAATGCAATAGAGCCCGGCGCAATGACCTAGCGACTAAATTCCATGCATTGAATATGCTGGGATCCCATATGGGTATCAGTTCTAATCCTGGCAGCTCCACTTCCCATCCAGCTCCCTGCTTGTGGCCCGGGAAAGCAGTCAAGGATGGCCCAAAGCCTTGGGACCCTGCACCCACGTGGGAGACCTGGAAAAGGCTCCCGATTCCTGCCTTTGGATTGTCTCAGCTATGGTTTTTTGGGCCCCTTGTGGAGTGAATCACTGGAGGGAAGATCTTCTCTATCTGTCCTCCTGTTTGATTTTGCAATAAAAATAAATAAATCTTAAAAAAAAAGAAAAAAGAAAATGTCTGGAATTAGACTATGGTGATGCTTTCCTAATTGTACCACTACATTTTAAAACTAAGATTAATTCTAAGGTATGTTAATTATACCTCAATTTTAAAAAGGAAAAAATTCTGGAGAAGTGTTAAGAGCCCTGGCAGCTAATGTGATCCATGATCCATCAGGAATTACTTACCTGTAATTCCTCAGCTGTGGAAACATCTAGGCCCGTGAGATCCTGTATTCTCATGTTAATGCGAGATACTACAGGGTCTTCATAGCCGGAAAGCCAGGCACTGAGAATGACAAGAAAACACTAGTTTTACTGGTGCTTCATTACACGAAGGCCACAGCTGTGGTTTTTACTACTGAATATTGTCATTTTTTCTAATAGATATCACATTCTAGTTAGAGGTCAGAAAGGCAAAAGAAAAAAAAGAAAAGCCAGCCTCATTTACTATGGAGTTTGTATGAAAACAGCCCAATTAATGTAAGGAACCCATTTATGGTTTGCTATATTGAGATTTCCTAAAAACTCTAGAAACACATACAAAACTAAAGATCGGCATGCCTTCTAAGTAAGGTTTAGGAACTGACTAGTTTAAAAATCACAGCCTCATCAGCCTGATCTAAATAATGCTAATACTTTATAGGGAAAATAATTTTTAAACACACCCACTAAGGTGGCTATAATAAAGACGGACAAATACAAGTGCTGGTGAGGATGTGAAGAGACTGGAATCTTCCAACATAACTGGTGAGAATATATTATGGCACACCCACTTCAGAAAATTTCCCTAAAATTTGCATTACCAAGGCACCAGTGCCATTTCCAGGGGTATATCCAAGGGAAATTAAGTTGTGTGCATACACAAAAACTGGTTCAGAAATGTTCATAGAGGCATTAATAAGAACCCCAAAATGTAAACCTAAATATACATCAACTCAGGAGTAGACACATATAACGTGGAATATGCATAGAATGGAATATTATGTCACAAAAAGCAACACAGATACATGCTACAGCATAGACAGAACCTTAAAAATATTATTTAAGTTATTACAAGTTACATGAAGGCCAAATGTTACATGAAATAAATAGGACAGTGGAACTAATAACTATATAAGATATAGTTTATATAGTTTATATAAGATAAACTGTGGAGACCAGGTGATGGAGTCAGCAGGCAATGAGGAATGGCTCACAATGGGTACAGGACATCTTTGTGGGGTGACAAAAAGTTCTAGAATTAGTGGTGATGGTGGCAAAACTGAGAAGACTAAAACTCACTGAAACATGTGCTTTAGCATCAAGGCTTAGGTCCTGGTGTGGTAGCCTGGTGGCTAAAGTCCTTCCTTTGCATGCACCAGGATCCCATCTCCACCTGGTAATCCTGTGGCCTGGGAAAGCAGTCGAGGACGGCCCTAAGCCTTGGGACCCTGCACCTGTGTGGGAGACCTGGAGGCGGCTCCTGGCTCCTGGCTTCAGATCGGCTCGGCTCTGGTTGACGTGGGCCCCTTGGGGAGTGAATCAGTAGATGGAAGATCTTCCTCTCTGTTTCTCCTTCTTTCTGTATATCTCACTTTGCAATAAAAATGAGTACATCTTCAAAACATTGTAGTTTATATTGGAACTACATTTCAATTTAAAAGGGCACTCTTTTGTAAATGCTTTTCCCCAGTCTACCAGCCCTTTTCTACCTTCATTTTTCTCACTAAGCTTTGATTGTCAGGCTCATGACTTTAACAGTTCTTGCCAAAACCCGATATTCAACTGTGTGGCAGACGCAATCCTGAATGATTTGCTCCTTCAACTTTATACTGTCACCCAATCTACTGGGAGAGTTGTGAAACAGGGCAGATGTTTCTCAGTTTCAATGGATCCTCCTCCTCGTTTACACTAAGCCTAACCCCCAGGAGGGGCCGTGCACTCAGCAGACAGCGCGTGCATCACACTCCCGGTTTTCTCGAGTTGCTGCAGGCTGGTACTTCTCTTCACCAGCCAAGAGTAACCCTCTGTCCACGGTCTATTAAGTCCTGCCATCCCGGGGATCGTACTTGCCGATTAGCCCTTCACACTCCTAAAGAATCAACTTTCTCCTCTTCTGCATTTATTTATTTTTTTAAGGTATATTTTATTTGTGCCTGGCACAGTGGGTACAGCAAGCTAATCCTTCTCCTGCAGTGCCAACATCCCATATGGGCACCAGTTCTAGTCCAGGCTACTCCACTTCCAATCCTGCTCTCTATTTATAGCCTGAGAAAGTAGCAGAGGATGGCGCAGGGCCTTGGGCCCCTGCACCCACATGGGAAACCTGGAAGAAACTCCTGGCTCCTGTTTTCAGACCAGCTCGCTTCTGGCCATTGCAGCCATCTGGGGAGTGAACCAGTGGATGGAACATCATTGAAGATCTCACTCTCGTTACCCACTCTCCCTTTTTGTAACTCTGACTTTGAAGTAAAAAATAAATTTTTTTAACAAAAGATTTATTTGAAAGGTAGAGCTACAGATAACAGAGTCAAGAGAGAAAGAGAAATCTCTTCCATCCACTGTTCACTCTCCAAGTGGCAACAATGGCCCAGGACTGTGTCAGGCCAAAGCCAGGAGTCAGGAGATTCTGCCAGGCCTCCTACATGGGTACAGGGGCCCAAGCATATGAGCCATCCTCCACTGACTCCCAGGTGCATTACCAGGCAGTTGGACTGGAAGTGGAATAGGGCCTTGAACTGCTATCCATAGGAGATGCAGGCACTGCTGGCAGCAGTTTAACACACTACACCACAATACCATCCCCAACTTTCTCCTCTTGATAATTCTTCCCATTGACATCCCATATGAGTATCAGAGCATGTCCTAGCTGCTCCACTTCTGATCTAGCTCCCTGCTAATGGCCTAGGAAAAGCAGCAAAACTTGGCTGAAAAACTGGGCTCTGCCACCCATATAGAGCTCAGCATAGGCCAGGCCTGGACGCTATGACCATCTGAGGAGTAAACCAGTGCACAGAAGAGCTTTCTGAAACTATGCCTTTTAATAAATAAATCATAAAGGAAATTCTTCCCATAGCTTTTTAATTAGCTGTAAGTCTCTCCTTTTACTGGATAAAAATTAAAATTCCTTCCCTCAATTACCTCCCTTGTGGTGCTAATCTCTACTTCCTCTTCAAGTCACCTTCCTCTCACACTCCTCATTTCTGAGCCAATTCTAATCTAATTTTAGTCTCTCATCGCATCACCACAATTATTCTTGAGGTCTGGCATTGTGGCATCGCAGGTGGAGCCATGGCCTCCAAAGCCAGCATCCCATATGGACTTGAGTACCTGCTAATGCACAAAGCACTCATGTGCTTGGGGCGCTGTTCCCATGTGGGAGACACAGATAGGACTCCCAGACCCTAACTTTGGCCTCACACAGCCCTGGTTATTCGGCCATTTGGGGAGTGAACCAGCAGATGGAAATTCCCTTCTGGGTCTGTTTCTCCTCTCAAACTCTGCCTTTCTAATAAAACTTTAAACCACAGTGACTCTTATCAGTGTTCCCCATAGCCCTACTGCACTACTATAGCTAACGGCATTTTCCAATTTTCATTGGATTGCTCCTTCACTAATAACATTCCACCTTCTGGCAAAATGTTAAGTTATTTCTAACTTCTCTCCATTGTTTCTATTATTACTCTACTATTATTTCTAACTTCTATTTGAAGGGGGTCAACTGTGTGGCATAGTGGGCAGGGCAACATCCACACAGGTGCCACTCTGCTGAATCTCTGATCCAGCTCCCTGCTAATGTACCTGGGAAAGGAGAGAAAGATGGCGCAAGTACTCGGGCCTTGAACCTGGAAGAAGCTCATGAATCCCGAGCTTCTGCCTGGCCCAAGTGTGGCCACTGCAGACATTAAGGAGTGAATCAGCGGAAGAACTCTATCTCACTCTTGCTCTAACTCTGCCTTTCAAATGCATAAATAAATCTTTACATTTTTCTAATAGGAGGCAGATAAACAGAGATCCCTCTTACCTACGATGGCTCCTGGTCAGGAGACCCGGAGTCAGGAACTCAACCCTACTCTCCGCCGCAGGTGGCAGGAACCTAGTCACCTACTGCCCAGGATTTGCACAGCAAGAAAGTGCAAGCAGGAGTCGGCGCTGAGCAACAAACCTTGGTGCTCCACCTGCTAGGCTAAACGCCCACTCCTGCTTGGTTTTAGCATCAGAAAAGTCAGACATGGAGCACCAAAGGATGGAACATGAATACATATTTTTTTAGTTTTTCTTTTCAAATGGTAAAAGATTTCCGCACATATTTTGACAAATTCATAATTCTGCTTTGCCAGAATGCTAGAAAAAATTTTTGCTTCCACTGAAGACAATATAAGCATTTTTCAAAGCACAGATGTTTGAAATTCCCTTTCTAAACTTCCAAAATACAGATGGTCCCAGAGCAAAGAGGATTAAATTAACTGAAATCAAAACACATATTTTCTAATACTTTTGCTTTTGAGGTGCCTGTTTCTTATAATGTATCTTATATTTCCTATAGGAAAATATAACATTCATTTAATACACTTTGAACAGTCTCCAAAACTATTTGCAGTGACGGGTAAGAAATGTTTCAATATAGCTATTACATCCTCAAAATAGCAAAACCTTTTTATGTGTTAAAATATAAAGTATAGAGGTATTTCAAAAAACTCATGGAAAATGGACATATTTTTAGTGTTAAAAAAAACCTTAAAATCTAATGTGTACTTTACCTTAATACACACTGCCCATGAACTTTATGAAAACCCTACATACATACAACTTCCAAAAACCTTTAATTTCATTTTCCAAGAATGTCTTAAAGTACCCTCTACGTAGCTCTGACATTCAAACAAAATAAATCTTAAAAAAAAAAAAAGGGTAACATTTGCCTGTCAATAAATTTAATAGGCCAAAGCAATAGCTGAATTGGCTAATCCTGCACCTGCAAGTGCCAGCATCTTATATGGGTGCCAGTTCATGTCCTTGCTGTTCCACTTCCCATTCAGCCCCATGCTTGTAGCTTGAAAAAGCAGGGGAGAACAGCCCAAGTCCTTGGGACCCTGCACCTGTGTGGGAGACCTGAAGGGAGCTCCTGGCGCTGGGTCAGCTCAGCTCTGAGCACTGTGGGCATTTGGAGAGTGAACCCCAGTGGATGGAAGATTGTCTTGTCTCTCCTCTATGCCTTTCCAATAAAAATAAACCTTTAAAGTAAAAACAAACAAAAAAAAAAGATCTCCTTAGAAGTGAAAATATTGAAGTCACAGTGCTACAGGACTC